CCAACTGTTGGTAGGTCGCGCCAACGTTCTTGAGGCTGAACAACATAACTCTATAGCAGTACAGTCCCCGATCTGTAATAAAGGATGTATGCTCTTCGTCTGACGCGTACATCAGAATTTGATTATATCCCGAATACGCATCCATAAAACTTAGCAACTCGTGCCCTGAGCTGGCATCTACGAACTAGTCTATTCTAGGCAAGAGGAAGCTGTCTTTTGGGCACGCTTTGTTGAGGTCGCTGAAATCGACACAGGTTTGCCACTTTCCATTGGGCTTCTTTACCTGAACCGGGTTGGCAACCTAGGTCGAGTAGAGTGCTTCTCGGATGGATCCGTTTCAGAGAAGGTTACCCACCTCTAGCTTTAAGGCGACATACCGCTCCGGATCCATCGCTTTTCTTTTTTGGCAAACTGGCTTAGCTTCGTTGTCGATGTTCAACGCATGACAGATGATATCCGGGCTGATCCCGACCATATCTACGTGCGACCAGGTGAACAGATCGATATTTTCTTTTAGGAAGCTGATTAGCTCAGAGGCTCCCAATCCTTAACACTCGACTTGGTTCGCTCATGTTGACCGACACTTCGGAGAAATCCTCAACTGGCCCATTGGAAGGGCTCTCCTGAATTCGAGGATCCATATAATCCTCGGTTAGACCAGGCTGTGGCTCGATCCGGCTGATCGCCATAGCCTGTCGGGGAATGCCACGAGAAATGCCCTTCCTTTTGTACGCCATCTGCACTACTTTTATGTAATAGTCGTGAGATGCGCTCTGAGATCCACTAACTTCCCCTATCCCCGTTGGGGTGGGGAACTTCATCTTCAGATGGTATATCGAAGTGATTGCCTTGAAGCTTCTTAGTAGAGGTCACCCTAGGATTCCATTGAAGGCAGATAGGCAATCCACGACCAAGAATTCAGTAACCTTAGTCACTTCGTCATAGTCACCCAGCGTGACTGGAAGTTAGAGCGTTCCTTTGGGGATCAAGTGGTCCCCTGTAAAACCATAAAGAGAGATCGAGGCGGGCTTCAGGTCAGCCTCGTCCAAGTTCATTCTTTCAAAAGCGGTCTGAAACAGGATGTTCACAGCACTTCTGTTGTCTACTAGCATCCTGCCGACGTTATGGTGCCCTATGAGGGGTGTGATCACAAGCGCGTCATCGTGGGGATGATGCAAATGGGCTGCATCCTTCTCGGGGAAGGTAATTGGCTCCTCCTTGCGAACCTTTTGTGGTCGCTGCGACGTGTTCATCACACTGATTGGGTCGTGATGAGCCGCACAAGCATATCTTTTCTGGGCACCTCGCGTGTTCCCCACGAGGAACACGTGAGGTGCGGCCCCCCAAAGATCAGGTTGACACTGCAATATCCTGTGTGATCACGACACTTCTTTCCTTGCTCCCCTTGACTTTTCTCTTGTGCGGGAGCGGAGTCGTCAATATACTCCTTGAAATGCCCCTTCTTGATGAGTTCTTCGATTGCCTGCTTGAGAGCTCAACACTCATTGGTGTGATGCCCGTTATCCTGATAAAAGCGACAATACTTTTTATTATTTCTAGCTGACGAGGAAGTTTTCATGGGCTCGGGCTCTTCGAGCAGGCTGGCTTCTTCTGATTTATCAAGAATAGCTGATACAGATGCATTCAGAGACGTATATTGGTCTCTGTCACAATCGCGACGAGGGACGGGAGCATAGGACTTTTTGGGTTCATAGCGAGGTTTCTTTCCTTTGCGCTGGTCGATCCCGCTAGGAGCGACCTGAGCCACCGTTTGGCATGGGAGGTTAAAGTCACTGCCAAACAATGACATTTTGCTAGATCTGAGACCTGGTGGAGCTCTATCAGGTCGTTAAATTCATATAAATGATCCTGCGGATAAGAATTTTCATCAAACGCCCACATGTTGGGCATCCTGAATGCTGGTGGGAGTGGAGCGGCTAGCACTTCGGGAGAGAAGGGGGACGCAGACGCGACCTGCCCTTGCTCATTTTGCTGAGCTCTTAGTCGGTCTGGAGCTCGCTACAGCTCCTCAATTTGTGGCAATGGAACCACTTGGGGATTGCTTTCACCCATGCGAGTTCGACCCTCGCGATTACGGTCGAAAAAGTCTGGAGGTCAGGTTCCTCTTTGCCTCGGCCGACGGTTCCGGTCACTCTCGACACACGCTGGCTAGAGCCGTGTGATGGCAATGAATGGTGCGTGGTATTTTCATGACCTTTGCGGTGATAAGAACCGCCTCGTGAAGTGTGGGACCCTCTCGCACGGCGACGATCAGGATCGTTTTGCTGATGGTGATAGGAATCGCCTTGTCCAGCACTTTTATGGAGGTGTACTTAATTGCGATGTGGCATGGGACAGCTTGGGCTACGTCTTTTCACCGAATCTCAACGAGACTGGTATTCTGCTTGGGACGCGGCCGGTGTTTGCTAGCCCTTTGGAGCCCGTAGGCCCATTTTTTGCCACCTGCTTACCCTTTCGTCTACATGCTGCAGTGCTCGAGGCACAGGCTATTTCCCTTTGTCGCGCTTTCGCATGACCTGCAGGCATTTTTTGCGGTTGTACTGCCCCAGCTGATTTGGATGGCACACTTTGGTCCAAACGGTCCAACCTTCGGTTGACCGTCTGGAGAGTATTGTTGAACCTCTCTAGGTAGCTTCTAATGGTAGGGTCAAGTTGTGAACTTGATGGGATATCCCCTGCAGCATTTTGCGGAACTAAAGGTATTTTGGAAGAGGTGTCCCCCTGAACTTGGGGGATCCCCTCAGCACCCTGGTTAGTTCGCTCAGGTTCAGGTTGGCGGGCCATTTGCTGTTGTAGGACCGGTAAGTTAGAGATTCTCCTGATGAAGGGTGAACACTAAATCAGGCCCTTCCTCTAGTGCCAAACTGTTGGTGCGTGATTTTTACATCAACTAAATACACGTATGCAATGCTGAGCTGGCTCAGAAGACACACGTGAATATAAAGGATAATTAGAGTAAATGCAATGGGAACAACTTTTAAAGTGGTTCGGATGCTAAGGTAGCAAGTCCTACGTCCAATGTTGTTTGTATTAATGATAGAGGTCAGGTCGCATTAGCTGACTGACTTACAGATGATAGTACAAGCGAGTGAATGCTATAAATTATAGAGAGAGAGTAGCTAATCAAGAGTAAAAAAATGAGCGAATCCTACAAACGGGAGAGAAGTTCTCTATTTATAGTGGGATACATTGAGGCAATGATTACTGAATCTGTGAGTTGGTGGGATTATCCGTGCAAATCCTTCTTTATGTCACATTACCCACCTTCTAGAGTGATTTGTGCGATTTGGCGCAGGAATTGGACAGATGGGATCACCACAGTTTTTGGCTAGTCTGGCGCGCACTCACTATTCTGATAGAAGCAGGCTGCAGGTGTACTCATGTTCTGACTTTTGCACGCTGACTGGGCCTTACGTCAACCCTTATATTTTTTAGGCATAACAATTATGAAGTAAATTATTCTGGTTTCACAACTCGACAATTGAAAAGTCCATCCTTTATGAAGTACTCAACAGTAATCTTTTTTTTTTTTTTTTAAATTAGATATATGTGTCAAATTAATTAATTATTGAAAAGAAAAGATTACAAAGCAATAGAAGATTGATGTATATAAAAGAAAAGCCCGAGAAATAAATAATTAAAAAAGAATTGTGCAAGGGGTGGTTTTGATCTTCTTGAGGCATGTACTGTATATTGATTATACGATACCATTTGCTACCTAACATTGACTTAACGTGTTAACGCTAATGCCTAACTTTGTCAAAGATTTTGGTTAGATATTGATCTTTGTAAACAAAATATAGAAACCAATTATATAAAGAAGAATATATAATGTGTCATAACTGAAGCAGGGAGGTAGAGATCCAAGGATGATACTGTTGCGTGATAACAATGCATTAACAAACTATCAAGAACAAATTTTAGAATAAGTAACGTTAGAGAATCTATTATTCTAATGTGCGCATGTATTCCATGAAAAGAAACAAAGCTTATTAAAATACAAAGGCCTCCTGCCTCATCATGCATCCCACCAAATTGAGCAGACAAATATTGTTAAAGAGTCTCATTCTATCAAATATAATAACTTATTATTTGGATGCCTGAACTTGATTATTACTAGCTACCACTCGTCCCAACACATTGAGTCAATAGATCCAACTCAGTTGTCGGCAGCCCTGGTTTAATTGTGCTCTTCTCATTCATAAGTTAGCTTGTGTCGCCATGAAAGATTGGCAATTACAGATTAATGTTTGTAATTATGACCAAATTCCTGAGACAGAATAGAAACCTAGCTATGATAAATTAAGATTAATGACATGTCGTGTCAATATATATATATATATATATATATGCAAAAGATTTTGTATTGATGATTAGAGATTTCATTGATCTATACATGTGAATCACATCGACTTCTACCCAAGTAAATGCATTTTTAGAATTTATCTTAAGAACAAAATAGATAACCATTCTTTGGTTGGAATCGATTTCTTCTTGTGAAAATTTATTATGACTATGTTTGAGAAAAAATTCTAAGCTATATATATAGAAGGCAAACGTCTTATGAATAATCTTTTTTATTTATTTTTATTTTTATTTTTTATTTTTATGTTGATTAATGACTAATGGATCATTATTTGGTGATTTGGCTCACTTAATTAAGCTCTATGGTACTTTCTCATGTACCTGAATATACCAATTAAATAATGATTTATTGTTTTATTTATCAGAGTGGTTATTTTCATTTCCATGAAAAATTATATTTTATGAAGTTTAGTTGGTTTATAGCTTTCAAAGCTGGAATCAATTCATTCTCAGAATATAAAAGAAAAACACCAAATAAATTATCATTAATTAAAAGAGATGTTTCTGTCACAAGGTTTCCTTTGGGACCGTTTCACAAAATAAGAAAATCCACCAAAGCTTATTAGCAACATCATACGTGGGGAGCAATAATTTCACAACTAATTACACCCCAATCCTCTCTTCACTTGGCACTTCACTTGCTACTTACAAAATGGTATTCCAATCTTAACCTGCCCTCCATAATTAAAACATCAACCACAAGTTTTTCCATGACAAAATAGGTTTAAATGCATTATAATCTTGCATACAGAATGGCATTGTAGAACTAGCCACTTAGTGTTGTCTTAGGTATATTAAGAGAGAGAGAGAGAAAATGAAGTACGATTCTATACTTGCTAGAAGCTTCAGCCGGTACGAGCAGAAGAAGTTCAGATATGGGGCATTATTCGGTTGCTTGCTGGTCATTTTGAGTTTCTGCACTGTGTTTAAGCCTTATTTTGGTCCGCTACAAGTTTGTAAGTACTTCATTTTGGTTCTTATATATAATCAACGTAAGAGCACATATATATCTTTCTAACTATGATGGATGTGTTTTGCAGTAAATTTGCGGGTATCGATGGGGGCCGGTCTGAAGATGTTAATGGTCAAGGACACAAGAAGTTCCAATAAAATAATCAGAGATACTAGCAGCTCTAAATACATCCATGAGAATATAAGCCATAATTCTCGACATGTAGTTGATGAAATTACCAATATTACTTCCCAACATATTGTTAAGAATGCAAGCAGCAGCCGGAATATAGTTGGGGACGTAAGTAAATCTCTACCTTTGGTGGATGGAATTAGTAATAGCTCTCAGCAAACAGTTAAGAACATCACGAACAGCTCCCACCAATTGGTTAAGGATAACGACAATTTACAGCACATAGCTAAAGGTAAGTTTTGATTAACTAGTATTAACAAATGAAGATTATTATCTTATATCATCACTGACTCGAGTTATTTCGGGTTTCCTTTCTGAAGTTCCAGAGTTTGTCCCAAAGGAAGTAGTACTAGAGCCAGTCTGCAATTTCACGATAAGGTCAGACTTTTGCGAGACCAACCATGATATATTGATTGATGGAAGTTCCGCCTCTGTATTTATTCCTTCAAGTACTCATCAAACAGGAATCTCGTCACAAAACAGTTCATGGATTATCAGGCCTTATGCTCGAAAAGGAGACGAAGCCGCAATGAATAGCGTAAGGAAATGGTCAGTAAAGTCAGTGATTGATCCCCAACAACTCCCAAAATGCACCAAAAATCACAGCGTTCCAGCCATTATTTTCTCCAATGCAGGATATGCAGGAAACCATTTCCATGACTTCACTGACATCGTTATTCCTCTGTACATGTCTTCTAGACAGTTCAACGGAGAAGTCCAATTTCTCATTACAGACAACGGATATTGGTGGATCGAGAAGTTCAGAAAGCTACTCAAGAAGCTGTCTAGATATGATATCATCGACATTGACAAAGAAACTGATGTCCACTGCTTTCCAAGAGGGATTATTGGCCTTAAACGCTATGACGGTAGAGAGCTGACCATTGATCCTTCTAAGTCTTCTCAATCCATGAAAGACTTCAGGGAGTTATTAAGAAGTTCATATTCATTACCCAGAGCTACAGCTATTAAAATCAAGGATGGTGAAAAGAAAAAGCCTCGACTTCTGATTATTGCTCGAAAGAGAACACGGTCTTTTACAAATGCAGGTAAAATTGCTCAAATGGCTAGAAGATTAGGATACAAAGTAATTGTGGCGGAGGCAACAATGAACGTACAAAAATTTGCAGAACTTGTAAATTCTTGTGATGTACTGTTGGGAGTTCATGGAGCTGGGTTGACCAACATTGTTTTTCTTCCTGAAAACGCGGTGGTTATCCAAGTAGTACCCTTAGCGAAGGAATGGTTATCAAGATTTTATTTTGAAGAGCCTTCAATGGCTATGAATTTGAGTTACTTGGAGTACAAGGTCAGAGCAGAAGAAAGCAGTCTAATACAACAATACCCACTTGATCATCAAGTCCTGAAAGACCCCTCCTCCATCCGGAAACAAGGATGGGAAGCATTTAAGTCAGTGTACTTAGACAAACAAAATATACAGCTTGATTTGAAACGGTTTAGAGGTACTCTGCTAAAAGCCCGTGAGCTTTTGGCTCGCTAGATATACATATATTTTTCAATAGGAAACCAATTTCAACATATATCAATTGTTCAATCCATCGTCCTTTTACGTTCACTGTTTCAGTTTCTAATTAGAAAATATACTATGTGTACAAGGAAGCTTAGCATTTTAATAAACTATAAATGTACGATCAATTATACCTACATTTAATTTCTCAACCCACTGACTATCGAGGGGTACTTAATTGAACGACTCAAGATGCATGCTTATGAGGTTTTGCCATAAAAAAAGCATGAATTAAGGGGTATTTAAGTTCACAATGCACACAGCTCCCAGTAATTGATTAACAACAGTAGCAATTAGATTATTTAGATCTTAGTAATAAACCTATATGACATATATATAGTGTTTTGATATTTGGTATCTGAAGTTCCAAATTTTATAACACAGAACATAGAACCGGTTTGCAAATTCCTGAAAAGATGAGAATTTTGCGAAACCAACCGTGAAACAAGGATTCATGGAAGTTCTGCAACTGTATTCATTCCTTCATATACAGGTCAAATAGGCATCTCTGTAGGTTTTTTAGCTAGAGAATACTAAGGAAAGAGAGAGTTGAGAGAAATTACTAACATTCAAAAGCTTAATTGCATTATACCAAAGCAGCTCATATAACAGCCTAAAATGTCACTGTTACAACAACTTTTGCAGGATATTTTAAACAAATTCAAACTAAGCCATACAATTCACCTAATCCAAGTACATTAAACTAATACAAAGCCATAACACACGGCTATATACATCTAAAACATCACATTACAATTCAAAAAATCTAACAGCTCCATCATTCAAATTCAGCCTACAAACTTCAAACTTAGCACCAAAATCCTACAAACTAGCAGCCTATCTTCATGTTTTTAGTAAAACATCACTGCTATCAACACTCTTCCTTGATGTTTTGCTAGAAACACCAAGCTTCAACCTAAGTTCTTCAAATTTGGACTTGCTTAGAGCCTTAGTCATAATTCTACAACCTGGTCCTCTCCTCTGCAGTGAACTAAACTGACTTCTCCAATCAGTTCAGCCTCCCTTAAAGCATGATACTTGATCCTAATGTGCTTGCTAGAAACATCATCTAGAATTTTCCTTAACCAAATGGTCTAGTTCACGGCAGCAGCAGTAGAGATATACTCTAATTCAGCCGTGGATTGTGCAATAGTTTCCTGCTTTTTGGACATCCAACTGAAGGTTCTTGCATTCAAGAAGAAAACGTAACCTGAAGTGCTCCTCATATCATCAATGGAACTAGCCTAGTCACTGTCTGAAAAACCTCTCAAATTGAAAATTTCAAACCTCTTAAACCATATTCCCAAGTCTGCAGTACCCTTAATATACCTCAATATTCTCTTAGCTGCCTTGAAATGTGTTTCACTTGGATTGCTTATAAATCTAGACAACAAGCTAGTGAATTATATGATGTCTAGTCTGGTTGCTATTAAATACAGCAAGCAGCCAATTAAACTTCTATAAACAACCTCATCTACTACTTCTGCACCATCATTTTTACTCAATTTTTGACTTGGGACCAACGGTGTGTCCACTGATTTGCTATTCTCCATACCAAACTTTTTCAAAACCTCATTTGGCATACAAATATACCACAAGAGCCTTGAAATATTTTCGTGCCAAGAAAGTAGCTCATGTCCCGAAGGTCAGTCATATCAAATTCATTCTGCATTGCTTCTTTAAACTCCAACAAGTAATTAGATTGCTTTTAGTGACCAATAGCTCATCCACATACAAAGACACTATCATTACTCCACCTCCCTGCACCTTTACATAAAGAGTGTGCTCATTTTGGCTTCTGTCATACTCCAAGTTACCTAAATACTCATTAATTTTGCTGTATCAGGCTCTAGGAGCTTGCTTCAGGCCATACAAGGCCTTTCGCAACAGATAAACTTGATATTCCTTCCCCTTAACTTCATGTCCTTGGGGTTGCTCAACATAGATCTCTTCATCCAGCCACCCATTTGGGAAAGTTGATTTTACATCAAGTTGGAAGATTTTCCACTTGAATTGAGCAACAATGGCAAGAAGCATTCGGATGGTGTCATGTCTAGCAACCGGTGCAAATGTATCAACGAAATCCACACCATATTGTTGCGCAAAGCCCTTCACAACAAGTCTTCCTTTGTACTTGTTAACTAATCCATATGGATATAGTTTTCTGTTGAAAATCCACTTCACTTGTATAACTTTTCTATTTTTAGGCCCATCAACCAGCTCCCATGTTCCATTCCTCTCTATTGAAGAGAATTGCTCCTTCATTGCAGCTCTCCAAGCATCGGATTTGACTGTCTCATTGTAGCTTGTTGGTTCTAACTTAGCCACATTGCACCTCTCATAAATTTCAGATAATAGCCTTGTACCTCTGACTGGAACTTCATCAACTTCAACTGAATTCATTTCTTCAATCTACCTTTCGGGTATTCTATCTTGCTGGAAGCTTGCCTTGACTTCAACCTGATTTCTTTCCCAATTCCAAACAGCACACCCATCCACTTTACCATCCCTGCTAACTTGGATTTTCTTGTTGATTTGATTGTACATCCTATATGCTTTTGATTGGCTATTGTACCAGATTAGGATTCCCACGTCAGCCCTCTCATCTAACTTGATTCTTTTGTTTGCTGGGACATATACATAACACATACTTCCAAATTTCCTCAAATGATCCACTCTTGGTTTTACACCATACCATGCCTCATAAGGTGTCCTATTCTCAAGAGCTTTAGTTGGAAGTCTATTCAACAAATAAATGGCAATATTGACAGCTTCAGCCTAAAAGACTAGGCAGATTTTTCTCAGCCAACATGTACCTAGCCATCTCCATTGCAGTCCTATTTTTTCTCTCACTAACTCCATTTTGCTGTGGAGCGTATGGACTGCTAAATTGATGCGTTATCCCAGCTCCCCTACACACCTAAACAAACTCATTGGAGCAGATTTTTCTCAGCCAACATGTACCTGGCCATCTCCATTGCAGTCCTATTTTTTCTCTCACTGACTCCATTTTGTTATAAAGTGTATGGATTGCTAAATTGATGTATTATCCCAGCTCCCCTACACACCTCTTCAAACTCATTGGAGGTGTATTCAATCTCATTATCACTCCTCACAGATTTGAGTGTCAAACCTATTTGGTTTTCAAAAAGTAGCTTGAATCTCTTGAAGACAACAACAACCTTGCTTTTCTGGTTTAGGACATACACCCATGTCAGCTTGGAAAATTCGTCTATGAAGAGAATGTAATATTTGCTTCCATTCAAGGAAACTTGCTGCATAGGTCCACACACGTCTGTATGCACCAGCTGAAGTTTCTCAATTGCTCTTCATGCCTTCTTTGTTGGAAAAGATGGTCTGCTCAACTTCCTAATTTGACATGTATTGCACAACCCTTCCCCTTGTTCTATCTCTGGCAAGTTTTAAACAAGGTTCTTGAGTCTTAATTCTTTAAGAGCTTGATAATGAAAATGCACATATCTTCTATGCCATAAGTCTGACTCATCTACCTTAGCCAAAGGGCCTTAAAAACCAGTCCTATCCCATACTACAAGAAAGCTTTTTCCTTGCATCCTTACTTTCATTAGTTCATTCCCTTCACATTCTACAATTACATATGATGCCTTTTCAAAACGCAGAGAATAATTATTTTCAAGCATTTGGCCTACACTTAACAAACTTTGACTAATCTCAAGAACAAATAAAACATCAGTTATAATTTTGGTACCTACCTTGGTTTGGAAAGCAACATTTCCCTTGTCTCTGAGCTCCAATAGCTCACCATTTCCCACTTTGACTTTGGACTTGTAGCTTTGATCTAAGCTCACGAAATTAGACATGTTTGGTGACATATGGTTGGTGCAACCATTATCAATTAACCACACCTCTTGATCACAATTAGCTACATATCTTGAAGTCACAAACAGGTGCTCGGGTTCTTAAGTCTGCTATTGATTCTACGTTGCCTAGGATTGATGTTCATCCAACCCTTTTTTATTCTTACACACTTTTTCTATATGTCCAAATTGCTTATAAGACCTGCATTGTATGCCAGGCCTGAACCAACATCTGTTTTCAGAGTGGTTCTTTTTCTTGCAATGAGGACAAGGAGAAAAGGTTCTTGTTTCCGCATCTTTCCTCCTTGGTTGTTAACTTTCTTCTTTCCCTTCTTCTCTCCAGCATACCTCCTTTTTTCACCTTGAAATCCCCTCCTTTTTTGGCTTGCTAACATAGCTCCCTCACTTGAATCTTCTTGCCTCAGCAACCTCTTGTTCTTGTGCTTGAAGAGCATGCACAAGTTCTACTAGGCTAGTTTGGGATAGGTCTTTGGAGTCTTCAAGTAAAGTTTTCTTTGCTTCAAATCTCTTGGGTAAGCTGACCAAAACCTTCTCCATAATCCTTTTATCAGTCAACTCCTCTCCAAGTAGTTTTATTTTGTTCACAACATTCATTAGCTTGTCCATATATTCCTTAACAAACTTAGTCTCTTACATTTTAAGCACTTCAAATTCCCTTCTCAAGTTAAGCACTTCAAATTCCCTTCTCAAGTTAAGCACTTACATGCTGTGTGTTGTATTACTGCCCCCAAACTCCTCCTTGAGCTTATCCCAAGCCTCTTTAGGAGTTTCACACTCCATATTTCTTGTAAAAACCTAGTCAATTACTGTTAAATGGATGCAAGAGTGCTCTTGGAGCCTTTGCTAGCTCTTCTTCGTGAATCCTTATCTGATTCAGTGTTGGGTTTGCTCCAAGCTGAGGGACTTGTCTCTCTTCCTCCACATATTGCCAAAAATCGTGGCCTCTCAAGTAAGTCTTCATTTTGACAGCCCAAACATGGTACTACTCACTATTGAAGATGGGTGGAGAAAGAGGAGTTGGGTTTGTTGCCATGAAGAAGACTTTTAATGGAGTTGAGATGAGTTATAGAGTTGTGTTTTGGCCTTGAGAATCATGGTTGCTCTGATACCAATTGTAGGTTTTTTAGCTAGAGAATACTAAGAAAAGAGAGTTGAGAGAAGGTTATTACTAATGCATTCAAAAGCTTAATTGCACTGCACCAAAGTAGCTCATATAACAGCTTAAAATGTCATTGTTACAACAACTTTTGCAGGATATTTTAAACAACTTC